TATTATTATTATTATTATTATTATTATTATTATTATTATTATTATTATTCAGAATTGCTTACAAAAGCGGAGAGAAAGATTAAGTTCAACAACTGTTCAAAATTACAATAGCACTCAGTGAGGGGGACCAACAATGGTTCTTCACAGCATCCCTGCAGTCAGGTCAGGATGACATTTTAGCAAACTGTGGTCTTGTGATTGCGATTTCAGACATCCCCTGCTGACTTCTCACAAGAAAAGAAAATGGCGAAGCTGACAAGAAGTCGGAAGTCACAATCACATTAGGTCCACGCTTAACAACCCAGCCAACTGGGACTGACATTGTACTTTATAACCACATTGCTTGGATAGTAAGATATTCTTTACAGAAATATATGTGAAGTATTATAATTACTAATTTTGTATAACATTTTCCTACAGCCACCTCAAACCTGCCACATGATCTAAACTCCAGGTTTGGAAAGGTCATTTAAAATGTATGACATTTGGAAAAGGATAGTCCATTCTGTTATATATTTTTTCTTTTCTCTACTTGGACACAAGAAACCCAAAAGATAAGGATCTTAATCAGTTTAAAGCAAATCTGACCCTGCTCATGTATGTCTAATTGTAGACTCCTCCAAAAATTTGGTCAGGGCTTTTGCTACTTTTAAATATGACTTTGAAGAGTAGAGAAAGAAGGACATACTGTGCCTGTCTTCATGTTATGGAGATGCTTAATGCAATTTCCTTTGTGTGAACTTTATGGCAACAGATCTATCGGAAGCTGCTGCAATCAAAGGTGGGAAGGTCTTACCCAACAACCAAATGCACATCTTGATATATTGCTGGACCAAGTGAAGCAGCTGCCTCATTTGGAGGATGCCAAGATCAGGAGCCAGGCCCACAGATGGCAGAGCTCATACCCTCAAAATCTGAGCCACCTCCTTGTACTGTGTAAGATGAGAGAACACAAGGCCCTGGTTCACTTTTTGTAGTGGATTCTGTCAAGCTGCCATGTAGCTCAGAGCAGATGCAAATAACTTTCATTCACAAAAATCTGGTCAGCCTGGTGATGTCTTTCTTATCCCTATAATTTTTGGCTGGAGGATTACAATCCTCAATAGGTAGGTAAAACATTTTGTTTTGAAGGCACCATTCTTTTGTAAAAACTTAATGAAGAAAGTTCAGGGCAAGAGAATAACAGGAATCCTGAAACTTCTGGAGGCAGTGTGCATATTGAGTTTTGAAAATATGTTGTAGAAATGCTTCCAAAAGGTCTGTTGTGGAAGAACTTGACTATTTACAAAATGGCAGCCATAGTGTTCATAACCAGGTTCAGAAATCAAACAGCTGACACTAAAACTTGCCCCCAGAACTTAAGTGCAAAGTGGAGATGCGGCTTTACCCCATCCATGTCAAATTGTATTTTTTCTGCTCTCAAAATATCACAGAATATAAATTGTTGAGGCTCAAGTCATGGAGGTAAGTCATACAATTAAAAATCATGTTTCTTGCATGCAGCTCCATGCTCTGACTCTACCAACCACTCTGTCATACTGACTGGGGATGGTGATGATTGTAGTTTAAAATAGCAAGACAAAGGAAGCATATTATCTATGTACATGTTCAGACAAGGCATTAATGTTATATCTAACAATTGAGATATAAGTATTTTTAATATATTTTGCTAGGTTTTATCTAAACCGCATCTCTTCTCTTCCATGCTTCTTGTTTCATTTCCACCACGTGCCGTATCCCAGAGAAAGCACCACATTCTAGTTTGTTCTGAAAACATGTTTATTTCAGTTGTAATTTTATCAACAGGTAGGAGTGAGCCCACTGAATGTAACAATGCAGGCTAAATGTATATGACACATCCATTTCCTGTGTTTTTAGAATAGGATGTTAAAATGCATGTATTCAGTAGCCCTTGTATGCACCATTTACTTATTCATTCGTGTCAAAGATTTATATGGCCAGCCATTTGATTAAAAAAAAAAGCAATACAACCAATAAAAACAAAAACAATGCAATGACAGTCTCCTTCTATACAGATGGTCCTCACTTAATACTCACTCATTCAGCAACCATTTGGAGTTACAAAGGCACCGAATGAAGGGACGTACGACTGATGCCTGAAGTTCCAGCAACACCTCTCTTGTCATATGAATAAAATTCAGTCCCACTTCTGCCCACCTGCACTTAGGACCACCTTTTGGCTGCTTACCTACCTATTGCTGCCAACTCCCCCTACTGCTTAGGGACAGAAATTCTGTTTCTCAATTACCATTGTTAACTGAGGACTATCTGTACAGAAGCAATATACTTCCCACCATGACGTCATCAGATCAACTCGACATTTCCTGGGCTCACTCCCAGCTTAGCCCAACGCTCAGGGTGAAGAGACAGGTCTTTTCATATTTGGAATGGAATGTGTAGGCCAGGAAATATAGCAAGTCCGTTCTTTCAACGGGGAAAAGAGAACTCCCAGTTCCTTCTTTAGCCTAGGATCATAACAGAGAGGCTGAGTGAGTGTGGTGTAATTTTTCTGACTTGTTTTTTCCCTCCCAATAGTTGCTCTTCTGCTCACACCCAGCTTACGATGTTCCGGGTCCAACTGCATCAGATTTGGAGTTGACAAAGAGCAGCTGTGCAAATTAAAAAGACAGAATTCTGTAAGAATTAATCAATATTACTTTTGCTAACCGCCTCCCCCTACACACACACACACTTGTACAGTGTAGCTCTGCAGGAAATAAACAGATGGGAAATAACCTCACCAACCCATTTGAAACCTAATGGCTTCTACTAACAGAAGATTGTTTTTCTAGAACATAAAATCAATACTATGTTTCAGTATTTTATTAGATTTCCCAGTGGGCTAGAGATTTCTTTAAATGCGAACAATTTTAAGACTCAAGAAACTGTTCCAACCATTGTTCAAGAAAACTCTATAAATATTAGAAATTCCACTGTACTAGACTGGCTGAAACATTTGTTAGTGTGGATAGTCAATCTTATTATTATCATTTCCATTTCTGAGGCAGACAAATTAAGGTTAAGTAACAAGTTTAAATGTAATTTGTAATTTACTAGTTCCAAATGTTTTATGGAAACAACAGGTCATAAGTTTGGATCAGGAAGGAACATTTTGTGATCATATATCTATTAAGATCATTCTCAAATACATCTTTGCAACTCAGTAACAGTAACCTCAAATGGTAACCTATAATGAAGAGATAAAGTCATTGTAATATTATATATGAATATAACTTTTATGAAGGTTTATCTTAAGAATGCCTTATAAATCTTTAAGATAATGGAATACTGCAAAATTAAAGGCCATTTAATTTCTTTTCTAGAGAAAGGACACAGGAATCTGTGGTTATTCAGAAATTGATGGCTTACCACACTATTTATCTCTTGACTGTTATGCTATATGGGAATCCAACAATGTGTAGCAAAGCAATTTTTTTTAAATTCCTGCTTGTACGAAGCAGAGAAGAGAAATTACAGAGAAGACTAGACTCTTGCCAAATTTTATTATCCACATAATAAGAATTGCAATCAATTATATAATTAATCTGCCACAAAGAACTCTATTGTCCTACAATGAGCCTTTCAAACTCTGTTCTCATAACATGGCCTTCCCACAAATGGTACTTGGACAGTTGTATGTCACCTGTTCCATATGTAGTGCTATATAACATTTTATAGATGTAAGTTCACCTGTGACTTGCACACAATATCACGAAAGCCAAGCCAACCTGAGAAGATTCAGAAAGTGGATTTGCTCTCTGGAACAACCAACATACACAGGTGTGTATTGTTTATTTCTCAACAACCCAAATATTCAAACTTGATTCCTCTGAAAAAGCTGAGCTGAGGTTAATCCAGAAGTTTATCTTTGAACCATTTGTATGGTTTGTTTTATGCTACAGTAAAGAAACCATTGGGGTTGTAATGAACTTCAACAAAGTTAAATCTGAGCTATATCAATAATGAGATTATGCATTGCTTCCAAAAAGGCGCTTTGGAGCATACAGGGATGCAAATAGAACAACTGTCTGAAATCATTAAAGCAACTGGCCTTCTCCTGGAATTGCTAGGCAACTGTAGAAGGCAACCCCAAAAATGCAGCTGTTTAATGAATAGCACAGGGCTATGTTCATACTTCAATGTAACCCCCTTTTTTTGGAATCAAGCCTAAAGATTTACAGCCCTGAAAAGCTACTTGCAACAACTTCCCTATAACGACTCTTATCTTAATTTTATGCTAATGTTTCCTTCAACCCAGTAGTTTGCATTTGTGAAACCATAGATGTTCAAAACATGCACGTCCTTTTGATTGGAGGACATTCACACTTGGGGCTGGGAATCATCAAGTGATGTCATCCAGGGATTACCTTGAATGTCTGTGGCAGGCCTAATTCCTCTAGTGGGTCCAACATTCATCAATGAATGATGGAGCTTTGTAATTGATTTAATACAGGGGCTAGGATGAAGCATTTCTCTATCCTTTGAAACAATGCATTTATGTATTTGAAAAATTGTAATGTTTAACTTTATTCTGAGTGGAGAAACAGAAGTGTATGTGTGTATGTGCCCCATGCTCTCAAGCCTGAGTTTGTAATCTGCTTAAATTAAATACCTCTGACACCTTCTGACTTTTCTGTTTAATGTGTAATTGTTTTTAAAAAATGTTCCTCTCTGCAAGTTATTAGTATTGTTTTCATCTAACAACTGAAGAACGGGTATAATCAGGGCCTCTCTCCCATAAGGCTTCAAAGCTTTAAACATTTCTCCCTCACCTCCCTCTCCCATCAAGCTTTCCAATAAAAAAATAACTGAACATAGAGTTGGTTTTAAGCAAGAGTGCTGTGTTCATTTAAAGTTAACAAGTTGAGATGATTGATTGGAAGGTCAATTAATTTTTAACTGTCCTTTATTAATAGTAATTTAGATTAATTCTTTTTCAGTAGGAATGATAGTCTCTGGGAAATATACCTGGAATAAAGAAGGTGAAGACTACCTATGATTTTTGAGTGACAATTATTGATGTCCTTATTCTTATTAATAATATACTCATCACGGCATCACCAGGGTGTTTCACCTATCTGTTACTGAAAGGTTACAGTGGGTCTGTTGCTCCGAAGATTTCTCAATTACATTCAAGAGGCTTTTCCACCCCTCCTCCACAGTCATTCAAAGATAGAACATAAATCTCCCTCCCTCCTTTCTCTTCTACGGACACCCAATCCCCATCGCATTTACGGTCTTCTGGGGAGAGTAACTTCAGAGCATAGGGGAAAACATTCAAAATATCTCTTGACTTCAATTAAAAATATCCTTGCAGATACCTAGTAAATCCTTCTGTGAGACAAGCCAAGACACTAACTGTATCCACAAGCAGGTGGTTTTCATTGCAACTATGCCTATGTCTCAAGGATGAAAGCACTATCATCAAAAGCAGCAGCAACCTGATTGTTCTCTTTATAATGGGTCCTTATGGAGCTACTCTTTATTAGGTATGCTGTTTATTGTTTGTTTCAATTGTATCTCATTTCCCCCACCCCCCTCCTCTAGGAGCTTAAAGCAGCTTACATAGACAGTGGCTTTCATTTCCCTCCCCTCCCCCCATGACAGCAATCCTCCAAGATAGGTTGAGTCGAAAGACAGTAATGGATCAAAGTCCATGAGTGGAGGCAAAATACAACCTAGATTGCTCAGTCCTAATTTAACAACTAGATAGATAGATAGATAGATAGATAGATAGATAGATAGATAGATAGATAGATAGATAGACAGACAGACAGACAGACAGACAATTTTGTGGTACAGATAGATAGTTTTGTGAGATAGGTGATAGATAGATAGATAGATAGATAGATAGATAGATAGATAGATAGATAGACAGACAGATAGATAGATAATAGATAGATAGGTGATAGATAGATAGATAGATAGATAGATAGATAGATGATAGATAGTTTTGTGGGATAGATAGATAGATAGTTTTGTGGGATGGATGGATGGATGGATGGATGGATGGATGGATGGATGGATAGATAGACAGACAGACAGACAGGCAGATAATTTTGTGGTATAGATAGTTTTGTGGGATAGATAGATAGATGATAGATAGATAGATAGATAGATAGATAGTTTTGTGGGATGGATGGATAGATAGATAGATAGATAGATAGATAGATAGATAGATAGATAGATAGATAGATAGATAGATAGATAGATGATAGATAGTTTTGTGGGATAGATAGGTAGGTAGGTAGGTAGGTAGATAGATAGATAGATAGATAGATAGATAGGTAGATAGATAGATAGATAGATAGATAGATAGACAGATAGATAATTTTGTGGTATAGATAGTTTTGTGGGATAGATAGATAGATAGATAGATAGATAGACAGACAGACAGACAGACAGTTTTGTGGGATAGATGATAGACAGACAGACAGACAGACAGACAGACAGACAGACAGAGTTTTGTGGCTTGCTGCCACAATACACATCCAATGTACACACTTTTCAGGAATACTGTAGCATAAAGTTGTAATTCCTCACCTTAACACTGCAATACATCCCCACTGAGCAGCAGGGATGGGGGATGGGGACCCATCCATTTTCACTGCAGAAGTAATTGTAAATTTAATCAGCCAAATTAAGATGAAGCGGCTCTTATGGTCAGACATTTAGCATCCCTGAGATCTACTACCTTCGGGAGGGAGAAGGCAGGGGAAAAGGGAAGGAGCAGCTGCTCCTGTAGGAGAAAAGCCAAGCCCGAGACGCAGCAGCGGACAGAATAAAAATCGATCGATTCACTCACCTTCAACTTCCCAAGAGAGATCCCAGCAAAGGGGGAGGGGAAGCGGACGGCGGGGTCTATTTCTGGCAGCCCGGAGAGAGAAAAAGAGCCTCTTCTTTCCGCATCCCTCTTGTGTGTTTGTCCAGAGAGAGACTGAAAGTTACAAATTGCTGCCATGAGCTCATCAAACAGTGCCTTTTCCCCCCTCGGTGAACCTTGGCCATTGGCCAAACGCCCGTCACGTGGTCTCTCCCCTTGCCACTGTATCGAATGTCAGCTGGCTTTTTCTTTTTCAACCCCCACCCCCCCCACCCCCCGCACCCCGCCTCCTTGGGAAGCGGGGAAATGTCCAATTTGGCCAGGAGGAATCAGGGCCAAGGTGGGGGGGACGGGGACGTGGGGGGACGTGGGGGAGGAGGAGGAGGAGAGCCATCAGGACATAATGACGGATGGTCCCCATTTAGAACTGCCTCTGTACGTGGGACAAGGGCCAGCGGCCAATGGGTAGCGACCCTCTCCTGGAGGGCAGCGCGGCTGGAGAGGCAGCTCCGTCGAAATAGCAGCCCCGGGGACGGGATCCCCCGCGGGGGGATCTCCCCCTCCCGGCCTCGGCGGGCCCTGAGGCTGGCCGGTTACTCGAGCGACCTCGGCCTCTGCACCACCTACCTACGCGGGTGACATCGGCTTCCTCCTCGCCGGCGTCGCCACCTCCTCCTCCTCCTCTCCGCATCACCAAGCTTGTGCGCCCCGCCTGGATCGCTCTTTGGCTGATGGAGAACCCCCTCCCCCCTTCTCCTCCTGCAGGCTCCCTAGCGAGAAGATCTCCGGGCCCTGCGGACTGAGCGGCAGGAGGGATTCCCCCCCCTCCTCCATCACCGGGCTCGAAGGGCCAGGGCTGCGGAGGGAACTTTTTGAATGGCTTGAAAGTTGAGCGCAACCCGCCCCGCAAAAAAACAAAAACCAGGTGAGTGCTAGGAGGCTCCAATTGGATGCCTAGCTGGCGCGCCTGCCGCATCACCGGATACTGGAGGTATCCCGGTAGGTAGGCGGAGATCATCCATCACGCGAGAGGGTGAAACGTCAGGGGGGTCTCATTGCCAAGCAACTCACGTGGGGACCCCCAATTCCTTTGGCCTCACGGGGGCCGCTGAGGACACGGCTTTTGGTGAAGAGGGAGGGAGGGAAAGGGAGAAATCTTAAAAACAAATAGCATCCCGTCATCGGTGGTTGTTGTTGTTGCTTTTTGTTTTGTTTTGTTTTGTTTTGTTTTTCCAAACCAGGATCTTAGCTTTTGTTGAAACTCTTCCTGGATAGGCAGGATATGGTTTCTTTTTAAACGATCTTCTGGAAGAATTTCCCAAAGCTCTTTCTCTGGATAAGTCCCACCACAAGCTACGGTTGCGTAGAGACATTGAAAACAAACCCTTCCCACTTCTTTTTATTCCTTCGGTATATTTGAGCTCCGAACTTTCTTTCTTTCTTTCTTTCTTTCTTTCTTTCTTTCTTTCTTTCTTTCTTTCTTTCTTTCTTAAAAAATTAAAGCAACAGCCACACATACATGCTCCGTGAACATACATGTGATGGATGGGGGAATCTTCGGAAATATTTTGACATTTTATAAAGGTTGTTGGGGGACGGGGGGCGGGGGAAAACCTTGAGTTTATTTTAGATCAAACTTCGATCAGTTACACTAATTAGAGGGCAACTGTATCCTGCAGTCATGATCAGAAATTATACGATTCTCCCTCGCTTTTTTAAACCCCACTTTTCAACAGAACAGTAAAGTTCTCAGTTCTGGGACATTGGTGCTATCAAACATTTTTAACTTCCGAAGTTGTGGAAGGGGGGGGGGGGAGATACTGAGCATTTTAACATTTTAATTAATTGCATGTGTTTGTATCTCTGATTTACTGGCAGAAATGCCTCGAAGTTTGTTTGAATGTCAAAAAAAAAAACCAACCTCAGGATGGGTGTTACCGACCAACTCCGTTCTTTGTATTTCTGAAACTTTCAGAAAAAAAGCAGAATAAATTAAGGAAAAAACGGCTGTGCGTGTGAGTGGGTGATTTGTCTCTGTGTTAAGAGTATTTATTTCTTTACAAAACAGCGAATATTCTTTGAATGACATCAGGAAGAGATATTTATTTAAGGGAGAGTTGGACTGCGATCTCGTATTTCTTTCATTCCTTGCTTGCCTGGTTTGTTTATTTTTTTTTTCTCTTCAGCGATGTTGGCTTTGGGAAGGAAGGTAGATCAACATTTTCCGGCACAGAGAGAGAGAGAGATCGGAAAGGAAGAAGTTGTTTCAGACTGCCTCGAAACTGACTGGTTTAAGGTGCCTCTTTAAGAAAAATCTTCCCGTCGAAAACAACCACTGAAAAGGTTGCAAGATGAAAGGTTCGTTCACCCAGCGCCGGAGAATGAAGGGCGAAGCCCAGCGAAAGCCGACGTGGTTTCGGTTTTTTAAAGCGCAAAAACTGAAAGATGTTTTGACAAATCGACTTTTCTCTGCTTCGCTCCCCTCCGGATCTCCGTCGCTCTATCTACGGGGGTGAAAGCTTACGATAGAGACCTTTGAGAACTGCGGAGCGGAGCTTTCCCATGCTACGACCCTCCCAAATACCCGAAAACATTTGTGTGTGTGTGTGTGTGCGATTTTCAAACGGGATACATTATCTGGGAGTACACACGACGCATATCCAATATCAAAAGCCTTTCTCGCCCCTACCCCCCGCCTCACCTCCGCCAAAACTGCGTTTTCTTTCACTTCGGCATTTAGTTTCCGATTAAAATAAATAAATAAATAACCAATCTAATCAAGCGATCCGGTAAGATCCGGCGGATTAAACCGGTCGTGTCATGCCGTTGTTTTTTTGAGGCCGAAGAATGTGTTGTGCGCGGTCTTTTTTTTTTTTCTTTTGTCCTTCGGTTCCGAAACAGATTTCTGACTTGGGGATATTTTATCCATTTAGATCTTTTCACAAACCACTGAAGTGGGTGGGGGTGTAATTAATTATGGCGGTTTCAAGAACCTGCCGGGTAGCTGGTTGTTTGGGTGGGAGAAATATTCCAAAGTTTAAGATTGATTATTAAGATTATTCATATATTTAATTATAAGAAGAAAGACAAGGAGAAGAAACGGGAAGACCGATTGATTGCTCCTTATTTATTGGCAGCTTTTGTCAACGCGGGTATTCTTTTTTTTTTTAACAAGAGCAGTAGGATAACGGCAGAAGTGTTTAAATCTGTAATCCTATATTAACTAGGAGGAAGCCCCACTGAGTTTGAGACAGAGTAGAGTTAGACTTCTTCCCAGGCCAGACCTTTCCTCAAAGTTTGGAAAAAGGGAAGCCAACAATTATTTGCAGTTTCAGGTCTAACCAACACAGAGATGTATTTTCTCCCTGTGGGGGCAGGAACTGAATAGCTATTTATAGAATATATTATCTTGCTCTTTGAAACATTTATTCTTTTTCTGATTTTGGAAAAAAAAAAAGAAAGAAAGAAAGGCACCAAACTTTGCTTTTTAACTCAGCGAAACATGCAGGGGAGCAAAAATAAGTAAGAGTAAAATAACAAGCCTTTTTTTATTTTTTTTTTGGAATGCACCTTTTTAAAAACCAGCTTTCTTCCTTTCGTTTCTTTTAAAAAAAGCTGATTTAATTAGCCACACAATGGCTTCACTCCTTCTTCTGCAACTGCGAAGTGCAGAGAATAAGAGGCTGCTACAATGGAAGAGTGCTGCCTGTTTATTTCACAGGGTTCTGCTGTGAAGAGATCCACGTGTGTCCGTGGCGTTACCTTTCCAGGATCAGACCCTGGGCACCTCTTCAGCTGGTTGAATATGAGGAAGAACCACTGGGGCATTCCGTTGTTGTTATCGCACTGAGGGTAAGAAAGGTGATTTTTCCAGGCAACAGAAGGCAACAGCGAACAATACTTGGGGAGAGAGAGTGGGGGGGCGTTGGTTGTGATTTTTGACAGCCTTGATGTTTGCAACAATTCAGATTGTTGTTGATCAGCAAGATGGCCTGAGAAATGTCTGCAACGCAAGGGGAAAATTAAAGACGGGAGAGATAAAGAAACATATGGAAAGAATAAAAGTGTGGTCCATCTCCAGCAATTTACAAAATTATTTGAGACAGAATGAGGTTGTGGTGGGAATAGGCCCAGCCGTCATTCTTAATATTAGTATTGGTGTTATTTTAAAGTGAAGGGAATTTTAAGGCATCTATCCTTTACGCAACTTCCATTCTGACCTATCACATCTGTCTCCTTTCAAGTCTTTATGCTACATTGACTTCTTTGGGGGTGGGGAAACACCCCAACCCACAGCCTTGAAACATGCAGGACTCTCAACTTTCTGCTGAACACTCAATCTTAGAGAAGAAAAGGCAGAGGAGGGAGGAAAGGACGTTTAAAGCTGTCTTTTTCATCTTGGTGCCTTCCTTAATTGAACATGATTATGCCTTTCCTCCACTCCTTCTTGCCTCTTGGTTGAAGGCAGAATAGTCTTATGGACTCCAGGTTAGGTGGTGCAGAAGCTTTCTTGTATGGGGGAAAACTAGAAGAGAGATCAAAGGGATGAGCTACAAATATGTGCCTATATGCAATAGTAAACACTGTGATTCCAGTACGTAAGATTTAATAAAGGTAGCTAACAAAACCCAACTAACAACAACCTTCAGTTCCATTTTTCAAATACAGATATAAGCTATAGTTCAATAATTTTCAAAGCAATCGCCTTAGCAAGTCTCTAGCAAAAGCAAGCAACTTTTCACAATTTAAAGTAGAGAATTATGACACAAGTTCTCATAGAGTGTAGAGCTTAGTTCATCCGATAGATCTCCTTCGTGGAAGGGTGACTGCTTTAAGACAGGATTTAGAGTCAGATGTCGAGGAACCCTACTCCACAGATGATACAAGGGAGCCCCGAAGTGCAGTAGAGTTATTCCCAATTGCTTAGCTTAGCTCATAGGCCATAGAAACCAGAGAAGAAGACAATGTTGAATGCTCCATATATTCTAAACTAACTGAAGGTTGACCATTAGTTTATAACAAAATGCATGTTTGTATTAGATTCAGGATAAATGCTGAAAATATTTCTGCTTACCACTGTGATTATTATTTCACTCTAGGATGGAACCAATTAGCACAAGGAATCCTATTTATGGGCCCCTTCTCCTCCAATTCTACAGTATTTGTACCAATGTAAATCTTCTGATAAATTATTTGTGAGTGATGGGAGTTTGGACACTGAAGCTGAGGAAGAACGAGAGCTACGTGATACTTCTGAATTCTATATTTATTGGGGCACCTGCCCTCTATAACAATATGCTCCCAGATTCCCACTCTGATAATGTTGAGGGAGTCACTAAAAACTGGTCTATTCTCCCAGATCTTGGGTTGGAATAATTGTCAAGTCCCTGTAGGGTTTTTAAAAAATCATTATGAATTATTTTTCTTCTGTGTTTTTTACTTTAAACCGTGAGGCTCCGAGCCATTTGAAGCCAGATGGCCCCTAAATTGTGTCTATAAACAAAGTCTAAGATACTTCATGAACATCTGAGACAAGGTAAGATAATATATGTTGGATAGCAATAGCAGCAGCAACAACTTGCCACAACATGTTAGCAAACTCCTCAGAGGACTACCGTTGGGTGCACTTCCCAGTGGAGTAATAGAAGGAAAACTGAAATTTGCCTCAGTGGGGAATGTGTCAAATGAGCCACAAAAAATATCAGGAGCGGACAGCAAAACCACAACCAGAACGTATGTGTGGGTGTGAGTGGGTAGGTGGGTAGATGCCAGGGTTGGGGGAAAGGAATGTAAGCCTCCTTTCTGATTCCTAATTTCCATCTATTGAAGCTTTACTTTGGGTGAACTGCTTGGATTCTTCCTGTTTGATTATTGTAGTCAATCCTTCACTGAATGAAATCTATTGACGCCCTGAA